CAGCTCTGATGATTTCTTTCTTTTTCCTCAAAGTTGGACGGTTTAGCTATTATATGCCTTGGCAAAATATTCTTGAGATTCAGTGTAGCTGGTGTCCTTTTGGCCTCCTGAATGGTTGCCTTATTTTAATTTATTAAGTTGGGAAATTTTCCGTTGACTTCTACTGTTTGCTTTCAATTATGCTAATGTAGCTCCTCTTCATATCAGCAGACATTTTTCTTCGGTTTTCTTTAGCTTATCTGATTATCTTGTTTGACTCTCTTTCCCATTTGTTGATATCTGCCTAGTTATCCTTGAAATCACTGGTATAATTCTCTGCTTCTTCTAGTCTGTTGATGATGTCTGAATTTGTTATTTGTTTTTGATTCCTTGTCCCTTAACTCTTGGATTTCCCATAGGGCGTGGTCTTTATCTTTGTATCATTTCATTATTTTTCTGAATTGCTTTCCTGATATCCTGTATGACTCCAAGCAGCATTTTGAAGATTTCTTTCTGTGGCAGATCAGTGTCTGCTTTTTCTATGAACGTCGTTTGTTTCGGGACAGTTTTCTGTATACGTGGTGTTTTGGAAGAGGTCGGCACCATTTTCCCCAAAGTTAAAGAGCCCTGGGTCTCTCCTTGGGAAGTTTCTAGGAAAGCTTTTGGGGGCTTCCTGTATTCAACTGTCCTGGGGGGTCAAGCTATGGATTTATCTTTCTGGGGCTTCCCTCTCACTCTAACCTATTCTGTTGTTTGGAGTGTGGGTTCGATGGTCCTCTCAGAAGATGCTGGCCAGTCAGTTGCAGGCCAAGAGGGTGGCACTGTGTAGACCAGTCAGGCAAGGAGCCTCTGTGGTTTGGTGCAGAGCATCATAGGGAGGCCTGAGGACAGATTGAGGCCACAAGCAGTCCTCAGACTAAGTTGCTGGTCCAGGGAGGTCTGATGGTGTAGCCGAGGGCCCAGTGAGGCCCAGGGCTGCATGCTGGAGACAAACGTGTTCTGGCAGCTATTAACAGTCTTTCAGAGACTCTTCGTCATGCCCAAAACTTTTGGAACCAGTTTTTGACCTGGGCTGCAGCTTTCAGCTCCTGTTAGCTTTACCTGTTTTATTATACTAAAACTCTTTAGGCCATCTCGGGGGATCTGCTATCTGCCTGTTTTGTTATGTTACAGCTATATTAATTGACCAGGTTTCTGGTGGTTTACATTCAAAGTTGCACAAAGGAACACAGCCTCAGGAAGGAGGACCAGATTAGCTGAGTGGGTTTGGGACTCACTGGATCTGAATTGCTCCGGCTCCCTCCTACACAGCTCCACAGGCTGTGCTTTGGGGATCTACTCTCTAACTAGGGTATGTGTCCTAGGTGCCCTCCAATTCCAGAAAATTAGTATCTAATTATCTGTTCTAACCCATGCTGGCAGGCAGGGAGCTGAGCAGAGGGGGAAAGGCATGGCCAATGCAGTCGCTCTGTTCTTGCCTGGGGAGAAGAGATGCAAAGCCTGAGAATGCAGGGGCAAGAAGGGTTACAGAGAGGAGGCCTCTGATGTGAGCCCTTGTGGCTAGTTCGTAGATGCTCTCCACAAACCCAAGTTATGACCACCTTTAGACAGAAGTCTGGGAAAACCACTGCATGCTGTAGGTCTTGGATCTTGGGCTCAGGAAGGGGTGACGCTTGTTGTCCTGCTTGACCTGGTGAGGGATTAGTGGAGCCCTCAGGCAGATGCAGCGAACTTAGAGCATTTTAGTGAGTCCTTGAATCTCCCTGTGGGCAAAAATCACAGGGGCAGATCTGATCCACATACCGTACACTTGAACTCTATTTCTGGCACCCTGCCTCCCACTACTGGCCTCCTTACCTCCTAATTTTCCAAACAGCAGGAGCACCGGGCAGGTGATTCTACCTGGACTCCATCTTGGTATTCCTCCCTCTAGGTGTTCTTTATGTTCTTGAAAATCTGGGGCTTAGACCACTTAGGAATGGGATATAACTTTATCTGGTCATTAAGAAGATGGTTTAATTTTCTGTTTATTCTGATAACCTAATTAATCCACAAGAAAAATATAAAATTTTCTCATAGGTCATATTTATTTATTTTATTCTATTCAAGGTAAACCAGACTACCTGTCAACTGTCTGAAAATGCTTTCCACGTAAATGAACTCTCAGACCTGCTCAATTTTTACTCCCAGGCCTTCAAAATAATCAAGCAGGAAAACATCTGGGTAATTATTATATGTTGTCTAAAGGGGTAAACGAATAACTACTTGATGCGTTAATATGAGTATTTCTGTCCCAACTTCCTGTATAAGTTTCTGAACCACCTCTCATTCTGCAAAATTTTTAAATAAAAATGTTAGGGATTATCACAAAAGTAAGACAGTTCTCAAAACCTCTGTAATTGTAATGCTGGAGTACTAACAGAAAGGATCATTGCTATATGGGGCAAGACTTGTGTCCACTAGGCAAGCAGCTCACAGAGTCAACCATTTGAATATGAGAAATGGACAAAAACTAAAGCAAATGCCTAGCAGTCTATCCATGCTTTAATTAGAATGGGCCTGATAGTGCTGGTATCACACAGATGGAAGTGTATCCCCCAGCTCCTGGTGGTGCTGTTCATGTGAGCACAGAGCAGCCAAGGGCTGCCAGTATAGAGATACAACTTTTAGGCGGGTACTTGAAATGTGGGCTCTCATTGCATTTATTTTGCTAAAGGCTTCTGCTGCCCTTATAGCAGCTGACCTGTAGTTTTCCCCTTTTCTCTAAAGGTAATAATTCACCCAATTCTACCCCATCTGCCCTTACCCAACACAAGTTGTTTATGGGCCCAATAGTTTATGCATTATATCACCCCCTTATACCAAATACACTGAAGCTCATTCATACTGTAAAAATGCAGGTCGTGGAAGAAAAAAGGTTTTTCAAAAGTGCTCCAAGTTTAAAATCAATTGCTAAATTAAATAGTTATTAAAGAGATTGGGCTTTAATACCTTTCATTGATAACTATGAAACACAGTTCCTTACAATTCTATAAATCTAAGTACGGTTAGAGAGCAATTGAATTGCTTTGACTTGAGGTGATGATATTGAAAAGTCTCAGGAATTTAAGGCCGTGGAGGTAAGGTGTAAGATTTCTGTCTTTCAATTTATCAAAATTATTTTCATTTCCATTTTCAGGAAACTCCGGTAGACATTGAAAATTTTCTCAACTTCAGTCACTTTCCATTTGTCTTTAATACGATGTCAAAAATTAAACTATTAAATGCTGAGACATCTTTTAAAAATATTCAGGTATGTATGCTTATTTATTTTTTGGTCTTAGTTGACATAATCCACATGCTAAATATCTTATGATAAATATGATATTTTGGTGATGATGAAGCTAACTAGCCAGTGGTGAAACTAATGGCCACAGATAGAATTTAGGGAGCTTATATTTTAAAGCATTGTTTCCCAAAGTGGGCAGTACCACCTCAAGGGTGTGGGAGGGGGGTGATGGAATGATTCAAGGAACTTCAAAAACAGATATCTACACTTTATCCTGGATTATGAGATATAGGGTGACATTTCTAATTGCCAGGGGGTATGCTGAATAATTATTTTCTGGACAGGGTATGGTAGGCCAAACAAAGTTGGGAACCTATGATGTAATGCAAAAAGAAGAGCAATTTGAGTTGCTTAAGTAATTTGAGTTTGATTGGTCTTGAAACCTACAAGGGTATGTCAAAAAGTATTGCTACTGCAGTTTCAGTTCATACATGCACATATTTATTCCAAACAACATTTGTTAAACATTTCTCTGCACCTGTGGCTGACTTTAGACCAATTCTCTCAGTTGTCTCTGTCTCATTAAAGTGCCTGCAAAAAAGATCTAAATGAAAGTGACTTTTTATGGGATCTTATAAGCCAATTAAATTCCAGGCAGAAAGTTCCGCTCAGAAGGTTATGGTAACTGTTTTTGAGACCCCAAAACGGAAGTATTGCTAGGTTTCTTCAAAGGAAACCAAACAGTCACAGGGCCTGGAGAGGTTTTTAAGCGAATTGGAAAGTACCTTGGTGAACAAAAGGCCAGGGAAGATGCTCTGCGGACTTTCTCCCCAGTGGGACACCACCTCTGCTCAGGTCTAGAGGGCAGCGGTGACTATGCTCTCAGAATCTCCAGGGGAAACCTTACTCCATCTACCTACAGCCCCTGCAGTCTTTCTTTTGTTCCTCAAACTCAGAGAACAATGAAAAGGAACATGATCTGAGCCCCTTAAAGAAGGCAGAACTCCCCTTTCGAGACAGTGTCAATCCGAGAGCGCAGAATAGAGATGGAAACACGGCCTTCGGAAGTGCAGCGCCCAGAGGAGAGATGAGCTGAGAAACTATGGCTTTACATTTTGACCTTTGTGTTTAAGGTCTCTTATGATTTTGCATCAATGCCTTTTTGTTTAACCTTTCAGCAGAGCCTCGGTCACTAAGGTGGAGCTTCTGCAACTGACTGAGTTGTTGGGCTTTTACCTGATTTAGGTCATCTGTGGTCTTCAGAATAGTACTCAGAGGGGCATCATATACTTGGGCTAGATTGGGACTAGCACCAATATTTCAGGAGGTTCAAAAAAAGAAGGAATACGGGTAGCAGAAGATTTTAAAACTGTGGAATGCTAAGATAATACGGCTTCCAGGTTCATTAGGGTTAGGACTCCAGCAAAGGGTTGCTGTTCTGTGATGGAGCCATAATGAACATTTATAAAAGATGTGCCCTGGTTGAGAGCTAAGGGTGAATACTGAATGCATAGCTTCTCTCCAATCGTATCTATAAATCCCTTGTCATAAATGATTTTGATGTTCATTGATAGACTGACCTTACTTATTCCACTGTTTTTAAAGAAAATGTGAAATCCATTATTTGTTATACAGCAATTTTATTCCATTTTTTAAAAAATCCAGTGACAAAATGAAATAAGACACTCTGCTTTTCCAGGATAGATGGATGATGCTTGCTGAACCACATATGGCGCCCACGTTTAATCTAAAAGTCAGAAGGAGTCATTTGATTGTGGATGTTTTTAATCAGTTAAGTCGGTATGAGAATGAAGACCTGAGGAAGGAGTTGCTGGTAAAGTAAATTGTCACTTAATGTCTCTGTTTCTGAGAAAAGTAAAACATTAAAAATATAGCAAACTGCTTTATACAAAGGGAAATAATTTCCCTTTACTACTGAGCTTGTCTGTCTTAGGATTTCAAATTCCTCAGTTAGTATATTGACCAAGAGGCATGTACTTTGGACTTGTTATCAGGAGATTTCAGCTCCTGGTAAAGGATATCATGCTTAGTAAAGTAAAGGGTTGCTGAAAAAGAGGAAGACTCTCCAATGATATGGACTGACACCAGGGCTGTAACAATAGGCTCAAACACAGCAGTGGTTGTGGGGATGGCACAGAACTGGACAATGTTTTATTCTGTTATCTAGGGAAGCAGTGATACAAGTGACTCAACCGCACCTAACAAGGACAACAGGGGGACATCCGGACAGGCATGTGGAGCAGGCCTTTGGAAGTGTGTGTCTATCCGTCAGGAGAGAAGATAGGATGGGTATGAAGGTTTAGACTATTTAATCGATAAGTAAAGTTTAAAGATAAAATAAAGATCATGGGAAAGAGCAGAAAGAAATGGTGACGATCCAACGATAGGACCACAGAAGTAAAACAACAAGGAAAAGAGAAAGAAAATTTTGAATAATATTTTACAAGAGAAAATAAAGGAGAAAAGAGTGCCCCAAAAGGTAGGAGAGTAAAATGAGTTAGTAAAATCAAGATGAAATATGAGGGGAAATTCCCTGGAAGTGGAGATTAGCACATTTTTAGTAGTATATGATCAAAACCCATGGTATTGAAGGAAGAAGTCCAAGCTGCACCGAAGGCACTGGTATTAAAAAAAAAGAGGGGGGGGGGGTTGTCCAGGATTGGTGGAATACTGACTGAAATGTTTCAAAAAGCTGATGCAACAATGGAAGCACTGACTTATCAGTGCCAAGAAATTTGGAAGACAGCTACCTGGGAAAGCAACCAGAAGAGATCCATATTTTTGCCTGTTCCAATGAAAAGTGATACAATCGAATGTGGAAATTGTCAAGCAGGATCATTAATATTCCATGCAAGTAAAAATTTTCTGAAGATAATTTAAAAATGGTTGCAGCAGCAGTATATCAACAAAGGACTACCAAAAATTCAAGCTGGATTCAGAACGCATATGAGAAAATGGTCCAAAGACCACATCAGACCTCCTTTGGCCACGCAAGTGTGGTAGGCCACGTTGTCTAGAGAAACAAGTCCAATGACACTCATCTATCTCTAAGAAAGAGCTTTATATCAAGAAGTACTGTAATTATATATAAAGAAGATATCTTAGTCCAGTCTAACCCAAGGCCATGAGTCTGATGCCGGTCCTTAAGTTCTTCTTTAGACTCACATGCTAGTGACACATAGTAGTGAACTAGGAAGCAGAAGATCACAATCCAGTAGGCACAGGGTTACACGGATTGAAAGCAAGTGTAAACATGGCAGGGTCCTGGCAGCTCTCAGTATTGACAGCAGAGTCCTAGCAGGCAGGAAGACAAAGTATAAGAGAGAGAGCAGTTCCCAGTGTCCCACATTCTTGCACCAGAAGGCTCATGCCATCAATGAAGTGTGTCATCAAGCAGTGACCTGATTGATAGGTTTGACTCCATACCTAGCCAGGAGTGTTCAGCAGACACAAAATCTTCCAACTACCACAAAAAGGGAGATGAAGAACCCAACGCTTTATGCCAAAGCCTATTGCCATGAGGCAGAGAGGAGACATGCCTCCACCCACCATCTTTCTTTTACCCTATGCTAACAACAACCATTCCTCCCACAACACTCTACTTTTCTCCTGGGTTTAATAATTCATGCAGTGGTCACACAGAACTCACAGACAATGCTGCTTAAGTGAGGCTTCTTGGGGGGAAGTTAACAAGCTACCTACCATATGACAGGACAAGGAAACATTAAGGAGACAGTCATTGGTTCATAGCAACACCACTCCTCAACTGGCAGCCAAGTTTCTCCCTGGTCATTGGTCGTTCAGCCACGTGGTCCTTTTACCTCTGCCTTCATGGGTCAGGATGCTCACCCACTTCTCTGCGTCATGGCGTCATGATTGCAGCAGTGCTTCTCTGGTTTCCCATGGCCTTCTTACCTTGGTCTGTAGTCTCCACCTGTACCCTTGCTCTCTTCCGTGCCCGAACCTCTGGTGCTGCTGCTCTTGGCCTTGGCCACTTCAAACAGAGATCTCCAATGATTCCACTGGTGGTTCTGCTTCCTTGATGATTACAGGAATTCACTCTCTTCCTGCTTCTGAGATCGCGCTCTTATATGGAGATGTGCTTTTTATCTTTCAGCCAAACATATTCCCAAGGAAACAAAGGATAATGACTTGATTCACATGCTCTAGTAAGGTGGAGACTCAGAATACAGCCCACCACAATCGTGTAACAGAGAACCCCCTTGAAAATGGAGCTATAGCCACAGGCAAAGAGGCTAGAATTGACAATACATCACAAAAAGGGTTATGGCTAGAAGGACCATATTAAGCAATCGATTACATCTCAATGTAGTACGAAGTACATCATTGCTGATGTCAGATGGATCTTAACTGAAAGCCAAGAATACCAGAAAGATGTTTACTTGTGTTACATTGATTATGCAAAGGCATTCAATAAAGTAGATAATAATGTCATCAATAATATTGCAAAGATGGGAATTCCAGACCGCTTCATTGTGTTCATGTGGAACTGTACATACACCAATTAGCAGTTGTTCAAGCCTGGGATGTTGCATGGTTCAGAATAAGGAATGGTGTGTATCTTTGACTATACTATTCAATCTGTAGGTTGAGCAAATAATCAGAGAAGCTGGACTATATGAAGACCATAGCAGCAGGACTGGAAGACTTATTAGCAATTTTCAGGGTGCAAATAACACACGTTGCTTGCTGAAAGAGAAGACTTGCAGCACTTGCTGATAAAGATTAAACAACTGCAGCCTTCAGTATGGATTTCAACTCAATGTAAGGAAAAGAAAAATCCTCACTACTCAACCAATAAACAACAGCATGATAAACAGAGGAAAGATCAAAGTTGTCAAGGATTTTATTTTACTTGGATCTATAATCAATATTCATGGAAGCAGCAATAAAGAGATCAAATGGTGTATTGCATAAGGTAAATATGCTGATCTATTTAAAATATTAAAGAGCAAAGAAAACCTTTTGAGGACTAAGGCATTCTCGACTCAAGCCATGGTGTTTTCTATCACCTAATGGGCTTGTGAAATCTGCACGAGGAATAAGGCGACAATGAATTGATGCCTCTGAATTGTGGCATTGGTAAAGAATATCGAAAGTGCTATGGACTTTCAGAAGAACAAACAACTCTGCTCTGGAATAAGTGCAACCACAATGCTGCTTAAAAGCAAGAATAACATGACTTCATCTCACCTACTCTGGTGAAGTGAAATTACTGGCTGGTGGCTCTTCTATCCATGTCTCTGTATCTCATCAAATGACTGGATCGGAGCATGCAAATACAGTGCAGAAGACTAACATGGGGATTGGACAGTTTCATCACTCTCTGGATATGAGAGCCATCCTAGTAGCAGGAATGGGGACAACCCCATGATCATCAAGAAAGAAGAGTCACCAGCATAGTGCGTGCAAGACCCCTGTCTGAATTGATGGGGAAGCAAACACACCGAGACTGACACTGAGTCCATGAAGCAGAGCAGAGGGGAAACACTGAGACCACGAGGAAGGATGGCGGAGTGGGAGAGCAACAGGCTTCCCAGCCCATGGAACAAGGCAACAGCCAAGGGACTATGTGGCTGAGAGACTGAATACCAGAGAAAGACATGGTGGCTGGCTGAGAAGAGACACTTATGGACCAACAATTGTATCCTTAATGTTTCTGACTTAGGGTAACTTGTGAACTCCCCTAACAAACCCCCATAATTGTGAGTATTGCCTATGAGTTCTGTGTGAGTATTGCAACACATTGTTGAACACAGAAGAGAAGTAGAATGTCTTGTGAGGGATGATCGGTGTAAGAACAGAGTAAAGGAAGATGGAGGGTGGAGGTCTGCTTTAAGACCTTGGGCTGGTATGGTGTTGGATGCTCCTTCATCTTATTGAATCTGGAGGAGGTCAGACGTAGTTTGCCATGTTCTCACATACATACTTTGGAAATGTTATCAGGAGGAACCAGTCCCTGGAAAAGGACATCAAGTGGAGGGTCAGTGATAAAGGGAAAGACCCTCAAAGAGATGGATTGACATAATGGTTGCAATAATGGAGTCAAATGCAACAATAGTTGTGAGGATGGTGCAAGACCAGCCCATGTTTTGATCTGTAAGCAGTGACTCAAAAGCACCTAACAACAAAACAACACGTTCTTGGGCATCATGGAGCCATTTAAGTAAAAAAGCAGCGTTGGAAGTTGATGAGGATTCATCTCTAAAGTTTGGCAACTTAGTAGTCTAGAAAGAGTTCATGTTGCCTGGATTGGAGACAGTGATGTTGACTTTTGTTGTTGTTACTTATGGATAAGTGAGAATCTAACACGTTTGTAAACTGAGGTGAACCATTCTAAAAAGGAAAGATGGAACTAGAGGGGGGGTAACAGAGGTAATATAGATGGTTAAGATGGCATCATCTCGGCAAGGGATTGACGTCGCCTCTGTAAGGAGTGAATAGCCAAGCTATCTGTAAATATTTACAAATATGTTATGCATTTGAATGAAAATTACAATATGTATGATTTCTTTCATGTTTATTCTCAGCATACTTTGTTTCTGATGACTTGCATGTGTTCACTGTTATTCCCATGTGTAATACAACACATATGGTGCTTACCACTGTGTCTATTTGAGGCCACAATGTTACTAGTTACTAAATTAAATTTAATAATGGCCATGCAGAGCCCTGAACGTGATGGCTGATGTATTCTCTCTAGATTTCATTTAGTGGGGAAATTGACTACGACTTTGGAGGCGTCAGGAGAGAGTTCTTCCACTGTGTATTTGAAGAGATGACCCGCCCAGATTGTGGGATGTTCGTGTATCCTGAAGAGGCTTCCTGTATGTGGTTTCCTATCAGGGTAAGTCTTCTTTTCTTTGGTGGATTATAGAAAACTGGCTTGTCTCGACGAGTATACTTGTCTACAGGGTCATCATTGCTGACATCAGATGGACCTTAGTTTAAAGCAGAAAATACTTGAGAAATATTTCCCTGTGTTTTACTGGCCAGGCATCAACATTTCTGGATCAAAGATAAATGATGTATAAAAATGACAAATAATAGAGAAAAATTTACTTAATATAAATATTCTATTATATTGACAAAAAAATCCTAATACTTTAAGAGTTTTCTTTTTCAGTCTGAATTTGAGGAGAAGAAATATTTCTTCTTTGGGGTACTATGTGGACTCTTACTATTCAATTCCAATGTTGCCAACGTTCCTTTTCCTCTGGCACTGTTTAAGAAACTTCTAGACCAAACACCATCAGTGGAAGATTTGAAAGAACTCAGTCCTACTTTGGGAAAGTAAGTGAACATATTTCCTTTTTCAGAACCATATATAACATATATTTAGATAAATATTTAAGTATCCACATACACTAATAATATAGTCATGTTTTAACAGTAGCATTCTACACCATTTACAAACATTTTAACTTTGGTAAGAGTTGTTGGATAATAATTTAACTTTCTAAAATTAATAAGAGTTCCTATAGTTAGTCCTCAAGTCTTCAGTTAATCTTTGAACTGTACCAGTGCAGAGCAGTCCCGATGGACATAGCACAGGTTACAACTTCATGGAATACCTACAAATGATGCTTATTTATTTTAAACGGACTTTATTTTTAGAGCAGCCATGATGTTCATTTTAAATCTTGTTTCACATCTTCACCTTTGCTATCAAATATGGAGAATAATTCAACATCTAGGTTAGTTAGGACAGTTTGTTGTTGGGACAGATTTCCCTGTCCAGTAATAGTGACTTAGAAGCTGATTTGTATTTACAGGGCCTTTTCAGCAGTGACATAGTAAACTAGCAGAGATAGGGAGGTATTGCCCTGTAATGGAACTAGAGAATGTTTATATCCACCTGGGGGAGGGGAAGGAAAGGAGATCATTATCTCATGCCATGCACAATAAAACAACTCCATGTGGATGAAAGATGTACATTTCAGATCCAAAAATGATGAAAATACAAGCTTTTCTATATCTTTTCTAATATTTTTTCATACTTTTGAGATTTCTTTAATACATTTAATTGCAGTAATATGAAAGAGTTTCCCTGTTTATCAAATAGTACCTTAATGAAGAGGACAATATGCTCTTCAAACTACGTAACACATATTGGAGGTGGTAGAAAAACGGGATGGTAAAGTAGAGGATCAACAAAAATGAGGGGAACCCTCAATGAGATGGATTGACACAGTGGCCGAAAGAATGACCTCAGGCATGGCAATGATCATGAAATAACAAAGACTAGCCCACACTGTTCTGTTGCACATAAGAGGTCACCATGAGTTAGAGCCAACTCTACAGCAACTAACACCAAGACTAGGATAGAGGAGGTTTCCCCCTGCAGGTAAACAAGACACCATTCGGGTTTTTTGTTGTTTGAGGAGTTCACAGGCATTCATCATAAACACTCATTAGTAAATAGGCAAATAAGCCATACAAATGATGTGTGAATATCATGAGCCAAAGATTATCAGCAATTGTATCATCTGAGTACCTATTCCCTTCCTCAAAAATCACAATAGCTGTAACAGGTTTGTGTTATCATAATCCATTAATAAAAAAGCCTGGGGTGGACAGCTGCCCCCTGACATGTATTCCTCTGGAAAGACGTAACTAAGCCATTTACATACTTCTCAGGCTGCACAAACAGACCTCACTGTTAAATAGGTGCAATGATCAGTAGCCTATTCGTGCACCAGTCTGAGAATTAATTGACACTGATTTCTTAGCTTCAATTTTACATTCGTTATGCCTGTCACACTAGGTGGTTAAATACATGCTTATTGATTGAGTGAATGAGTCAACAATACAATATGAGGCCTCATGTTAAATATTTACGTAGATGTATTTAACATAAGAACCTCATATTGCACCTTACATAAAGTACCATAGAACTATGGAGGATAGAAAGATAAAATGAGCTGCTACTATCTCTTCAAATATAAGCTCTCATCTCATAACTCAGTTACTGCAACTGACTCAGTTCCAACTCATATTGACCCGTCTGTCTCCCATGGAATGGTGATTTTGAATGCTAACCATTCGGATCACAGCCCAACTTGTAACCATTATGCCACAAGGCTCCCAAGGATTCCTTGAAACAATTAAGGCAGTAAATTTTAGGTCTTATGCTAATGATACCAAAACAAGACCTATAAGAGGTCTTTTAGCCATATGCCTCTCAAATTTCTGAGCAACATTTGATATTTAAGAGGAAACCTACCATTTGTTCTTTAAGTAAAGTTTAAATTAAAAAAAAACTAGTTTGAATGAGATCCAGTATTAATATTGTCGATCTTTTTTCTAAATAGAATAAAATCAGGAGGTAAAGGAAATTAAAGTTGAGAAAGAGTTGGAAATTATGAAAGAAGCCTGCAGATTGACAATAACCTTTTAAAACTCACACAATTTGGGTGGGGATGGAGTGGCTAAGGACTGTGGTCTCTGGGGGACCACTAAGTCAACTGACATAACACAGTTCACAAAGACAATATTCTCCATCCTACTGTGGTGAGTAATGACTGGTGTCTTGAAAGCTAGAAGTGACCATCTGAAGTGGAACTACTGGTCTCTCGGCTCAAGCCAGGAAGAATGAAGAAAATCAAAGCTTCATGGAAACACGAACATCAGCCTACAAGATCCTGAACCCAGTGCCCAGCTACCACTACTGACTGCTCTCAGAGGTCCTGGATGAAGTAAGAGAAAAACGTGGAACAAAACTCAAAATCATGAAAAAGATCAGCCTTCCTCGTCCAATAGAAACTAGTAGAACTACTGAAACTGTGACCTTCAGTTATTGTTCATGCCTGGAACTGAACTCATTTCCATGTCTCCACTTTAAGCCAGTGAGCAGCTCTCTATAGTGAACCATCTTACCAGGAAGGTGCACATTCTTTAGCACGATAAGCCATTTGCTATCAGAGCAACATTTTCCCAGGTATAAAACTCAGAGAAATATAAAGTCATTCGACTGTGTGTCATAACTAACTATGGATAGTCTTGAGAAGACTTGGAATTCCAGAACCTTTCATTGTACTCACATGGAATTGGTACATGAGTCAGTTGCGCAAACAGAACAAGGAATACTTCATAGTTTAAAATCAGGAAAGGTGTGCATTAAGGTTGTATCCTCTCACCATACTTATTCAACCTGTATTTTGAGCAAATAACCAGAGACAGTGATTTATATGAAGAATGTGGCATCAGGACTGAAGGAAAGCTTATTAACCTGCAATGTGAAGATGATACAACCTTGCTTTCTGAAAATGAGAACTTGAAGCACTTGCTGATGAAGATCAAGGATTGCAGCCTAATGTAAAGAATGCCAAAATACACACAACTGGACCTACAGGTAACATCATAATAAACAGAGAAAAGATTGTAGTTGTCAAGGATTTCATCTTGCTTGAATCCACAAGCAATGTTCATGGAAGCAGCAGTCAGGTGATCAAGAGATGCACTGCATTAGGTAAATTTGTTTCACAAGAACGTAAAAGTGTTGAAAAGCAAGGATGTTACTTTGACGACTGAGGTGTGCTTGACTCAAACCATGGTAGTATCAGTTGCCTCATATGCATGTAGAAGTTGGACCTTGAATAAGGAAGACCAAAAAAAAACCCAATGCATTTGAACTATGGTGTTGGCAAAGAATATTGAAATTACCGTGGACTACCAAAGGAACAAAAAGATCTTTTTTTGGAAGAAGTACAGCCACAAGGTGCTTTAGAAGCAACGATGGTGAGACTTGTTCACATATTCTTTGGACATGTTATCAGGAGAGACCAGTCCTTGGAGAAGGACATCATGCTTGGTAAACTGGAAGGGCAGTGAAAAAGGGGAAGGCCCTCAAAAGGATGGAGTGACACGATCCTTGCAACAATGGGCTCTGTGACAGTTACATAATCTGTCAATTTGAGTGAAGGGGTGGAGTCCAGCCTGTCAATCAGGTTATAGCCAATATTGCCTCTGTGTGGGCCTGGCCTTCTCCTGAGGATTCCCGGAACTCCTGTCTTCCTCCATGGAGGCGGGACACACACGCTCTCTGTTTTGTCTTCCTGTTGACAAGACACATGAAGCCACACTGATCAAAGCCAGAGCCCTGGAACCGGAGGAACCATGTAGAGACCCATGCCACCGCTGAGATGCTTCTACCACCACTGGATCCACAAGACTTTCTACCCACAGGCCTGTGATCTTCCTGCATTCAGCATCACTGCATGTGTTGCATGAGTCTGAAGAGGAATTTATAGACTGGTATCGGACATATAGGCTAATATCAGACTTATGGACTTGATCTGGACTGGGCTGGGATGTGTTCTTAATATACAATTGCTCTTTGATATAAAACTCTCTCTTATACACATATGAGTGTCTCTGGATTTGCTTCTCTAGTCCACCCAGCCTAACACAGGCTCAAACATATGAACAATTGTGAGGGTAGCACAGGACTAGGAGATGTTTGTTTCTGTTGTGGTTAGTGTCTCCACGAGTCGGACCCAGTTGACGACACCTCACAACAACAACAAAGCCTGGAGGAAGGAAGAGGAAAGAATGACAAGTGGAACCAATGAGAAGAACGTTATGTTGTGGGGATTGCAAATCAATTTCACAAAACAAAATGAGCACGGGTTATTGAATAGAAAACCAGTTTGTTTGGTAAACTTTCAAACAACAATAAAAAGTTGCAAAATAGCAACAACAAAGTTCACATTTTCAGCTGAGGTCTGCCTCTGTTTGGATGATCAGCACACAGATTAGTAGTTGCTGTGACAACAGAGACCTGACCTTCCACCTTCAGTATAGCCACGCACTTGATAGTGAGTTTACATCGTGATCACAATAAAAACAAAATTATTTTCCCTCTAGGGGTTTGCAGACGCTTCTAGATGATGAAGGTGATGACTTTGAAGACGTGTACGGTATCTGTTTTAAGGTGAGTAGCAATAAAAACTAGATCTCAGACCGGGTTTTACAAATCTAAACCTAAACGCATGTCCTTTATTGTTATTTTAAATATTTAATTCGGTTAGTGGAGACATTTATGTTTTCTTATTTTTCATGAGAAGAGCCTAACAAACAACTCCAAAATTTTAGTGGTTTAAGATAATGGTTCTGTGGGTTCCTAGACTGGACAAACATGGCCTGGCAGGGTGATGTACAATGGCCTCACATCTGGAAGTTGGCAGTGTGCCTCTGTTCCACATGGCCTCCAATGGACTTCTTTACAGGATAGTCTTTGGCATACGCATTATGGAAGTGGGAAGGGCAACCCTTCATCTACTGGGTGGGGGGGTGCTCACCAGCTGGCTCTGCCCATGGAGGTGAGACTATGAATTAGTGCACTAGGTGACATCCACCCTGTGATGCCACTGGTTCTAAGGTTACAAGGAATAATAGGAGGTGGCAAACCTTAATACCTAAGAATGTTTCCAAGTTCCTGCTTATATCAATCACATTGGCCAACACAATTCTCATGGCTATACCCAGATTCAAGGGGTGAAAAAAAAATAAGACTCCCATAGCTTGATGGGAGATGTTGCATTTTTGTAGCCTGTCATCCTGAATTTTTACTTTAGAAAGTAGATGGTGAGGGATGGTGATTTTCCAGTGGGTTTCTTCAGTATAATCAGTTAAAATCAATCATTCTGCTTTTATAAGATGCTTTTGCATTCTGCAGGACAAAGTGGTCCTTTTTCATGTGATCATTTTTACTTGTCTATTTCTTGCTGGCTTTATGAATAAATACATGCTACTATAAATTACTCAGGAAAAGGGAGTACGGTCTTGGGTGTTTTTATTAATGATTTATTGTTCAGAATTATTTTGGAAATATTACCTGAGTTTATTTGTGGTTATAGATCCACTGGGACAAAAGTCATGTCGAATTAATTCCAAATGGAAGTACCATAATGGTCAACCAGACTAACAAGTAAGTATTACCGAATAAAACACTCGTTTTGCACATAGACATTGAATTTCTTTCAAGGAGCTCTGGTGGTGGCGGCGGTAAATGGACTGCTAACCACAAGGTCAATGATTCAAAACATCAGAAAAATGAGGATATCTGCCCTTGTAGAGATTTATAACTTCAGAATCCCTATTTAGGGTCACTTTGAGTCAGCAGTGGGGTTGTATTTCTTTCACTAGGTCCTAAAAGTTCCTTTTAGTTCTTATAAATGTCCATTCCCATTAATCATTTCTTAGTAAGGCCAAGATGTGTGTTGTATATGTGTGCCTGTGTGTGTGTGTGTGTGTGATTGAATTTATATTCCGGGAGTGGAAGGGAGCAGCATCCTCAGAGAGGCCTTACCGCATCCTCTTGTCTAAAGACATACCATTACCTCTCTCCTCCTCTGACTTCTCGTCCTATTGTAGTTTTTCTCTTCATGTTTTATCGACCTTTAGGGCTTATTCACCAGCCAGTGTTTCCCTACGCACCAAAAGCTTTAGGGGCGTGGTCTCTCTTGTCCACTACTGTATATCCAGTAGCTAGTCTACCACAGGTCGTGGTACATTGCAAGCACTTAGTAATGTATTGCAGGGTATATTCTGGAATCTTGACTTCCCATCACCTGTGGGTGTTACTCAAAGCCGTCTAGTTGGAGAGTATAGAATATCCCTTAAAAATAATCAGTGTGGCAAAGACGTTTCTAGTGAGCATTCTGGCCTAAACCAAATATTGTTCTTTTATATTTAAATGTTATTTTTAAAAACTCACAAGCATAACATATATACAGATATGTCCACAAATCGTATCTGTGTAATCCAAGTCTTCACAAAGGCAACACACCTGTGTAATTACCAACCAGATTAAGAAATAGAAGAATATTTCAAATTATACTGCATTATATGACAATAATCCAATTTATTTGTCCTTAGCATTACTGATATGCATAAGATGTTTCTGGTGTTGGGATGTTACAAGTAATGCTTTTGTGAATCTTTTTTTAATCTTCTTGTATCTAATGGGAAACAGAATGGTGGGATATTGTGGTTGTCTCATGTTGGGCTTCTATGGTGATTAAATGAGGCATTATTTTAAAAACCTGAATATGGACCTCCCATCCAAAACTGGTTTGAAAATTGATGCTGATGATGCCACGCACATCCTAGGAGGGCCTGAAAAAAATCTATTGCTCACATTACGAGGCGTTCTAGGGAAAGCTCAGTAGCCACCGAGCTCGACTGTTGGCTCGAGAGAAGGAAAAGGCAGAGGGCTCTGGTTTTTATTGTGGCTTTTTTTCTAGTTTTTACTGTGGCTTTTTTTGTGGTTTTTGTGGCTAGGGGGTGGGACCAGGATGAGCTTCTATGCAAGCCAGACTTGCATGTTTTAACCTTTCCAAAGAGAGAGAGCATGTGGCTCTCTTACTGAGTTGTATAGACGTGGAGCAAAAGGAGAAGGGAGGAGTGGGACCTGAAAGTCACCAGCCATCCACATCCAAAGTGGAGTCAAGCCCTTCATTAGCCTGGATTGTAAATTTTGAGTATGACCAACTGAAATAGCGATTGCAGGGCTGTTTTCTAAAGTGATTATAGCAACATACCTTTCCATCCATAAAGTATGTAAATGAGAGTTCCATAATATATAATATTATGTAGTAACTCTCTACCCTAATACTTAGTATTGCCAGTCTTTTCCACAGTAGCCATTTTGGCATATAGTAGTATTTCATTGTGGTGTCTCAGTGTTGTTCTTTCAAGGTAATGTGCCCATTCTCTGGCTGCTTTCAATATTTTCTCCTCTTCTTTGATCATCCAGCAGTTTTATTATGATATGCCATGGTATGGTTTTCTTTTTATTTATATTGCATAGTATTTAAATCTATGACTTGAGGTCAGTATTCAGTTTTTCAAAAAGAATGCCTCATTTAATCATCACAGAAGCCTACAGATGGAGAAGAGATATGTGTTGGCACTTTTCACATTTTATAGATGGGACTAGGCACGGAAGGCTTGAGCAACTGCTCAGTATAACTTAGGTAAGAGGAGTCAGACTCCCAAAATTTGAACTTCTAACCCCCACATAGAAGGAGCCCTGGTAGCATAGTGGTTATGTGTTGGGCTACTAACTGCAAGGTCAGTAGTTTGAAACCACCAACCACTGCAAGGGAGAAATGCAGGGCTTTCTACGTCTGTAAAGAGTTACAGTCTTGGAAACTGATAGGGGTAGTTCTTCTCTGTCCTATAAGGCTGTAATCTGAATCTACTTGATGGCAGTGGGAACCCCCACATAGGTTTCTGCATTAGGTAGGAATGGGGTATGCCTGGGTTGAGCATGGGTGGAGAACATAAATGCTGTTATTTTATTCCAAAGAACCCTTTCTAGGGCTCTTTTTTCTTAAAATACTCCTGCATTCTTGGAAAACAAATGGGGTTCTGCTTACTTGACAAGGATTTGTATAAACAAAGGAAGGTACGGTTGCTGGTAGCCAGTAACCAACCTCCTGTCGTAATGTGCATCAGAAGAGTTTTCTTCTGATTTTGTTTTATTGATTTGGATGAGAGCCTACAGAGCAAATTAATTTACCATTCAACAATCCATACCTGTTTTGTTGGATTATACTAGCTGCAATTCCATCACTGTAACCGCACTCATGATTCCTCCTGGAATTGATCTATTGATTTGAGGAATGCATTCCTCACAAGTGTTGATGTTCTCTTTGTAGGCCTATTACATAGCTACACAGAGATCCCGAGGGGTTTCAGTTCCAAGTTAGAACGATGTCAAAGGGCCATAGTCTCAGGCATTCCACCAGTCTCTAACAGGACGGTAACTGGTGTTTTTTATTACTGTTCATTTTGTTCGACCTTTTTCCCCTTGGATGCATGACTTCCGTAGTTTCAATCAGAGCTGCTGCTGGTGGTAGCCAGGCACGGTCTAGCTCTGGTCTCAGGTAGTGAAGGCAGAGGTTCACGTGGTCCTTCAAAGTAATCGTTTTCTTGCACCTTTGATTTTATTCATTATGCTTTACATTGGTCAGGGATAGAACCTAGATGTTTGCTTGCAAGTTGTTCAGATCCAGGTCACTCCTTACAAAGTAGGATGTGTAAGGTGGTCAAGAGGCGCCAAAAACGAAATCAGCTGAATTAGAGCAAGCAGGTTTTATTGGGGAGAAAAACCCAGCCTGGGCAAGTCCCACGTATATATCTATAAGAAAGAACTTTACATCAAGAAGGAATTTTATTAAAGAAAGTGGCTCGCTCAGTCCAGGCCAACTCAAGTCCTGGGTCAGATGCTAGCAGGACGCCCTCCAGACTCGGAGCTTCCAGCAGATGAAGCAAGCGGGCAGCTGGGAGATCATAGGCGAGAAGGAACAGAGCTCAATGGATGCAAAGTCCTCAGGAACGTCACAGCGCCAACAGCTCCCAGCGTCGCAGGCCACATGAGCCACTCACCCCACACATGAGGCACAGGACCCAATCAAGCAGGAAGGGAAGGGGTAGGAGAGAAAGAAGTTCCCCCACAGTGTCTCTCGTAAAAAGGCCACACCCCGAAGGAGACGAAGGAGACGTCATTAGGCTGGATCCTAATGGAGGGGTTGAGCTCCGCCCCTCCTTTCACACAGGTACTTCAAGTTCAGCTTGCATGCCGCTTTATTCATAATAATCAGACACGATTGTTTGTTATTCCACTGTTCGTCTTATCAGTTTGTTGTCCTGAGGTGACTTGTGTATTGCTGTGATTCTGGGAGCTATACAAGCAAATACAAACAGTATCACCCAAAGTGAACAGATGTCAGCAGAACTTCCAGATCCAGATTAGGAAGAGACTACAAAGAAGGAGCAGGCTGGCCACTTTAGAGGAATTCACCTCGGAAACCCTTGTGGAGAGCATCTGATTCCATATTGTCAGATACGGAACCCCTCATGAACAGAAGCAGAGCATTGTTAGAGACAGCGCCGCAAGATGAGCTCCTCTGGTCAGAAGACACTTAAAATGTGACTGAGGAAGATCGACCTGCTCAAAGTAGAGTTGATCATGATGACGTGAATGGAGTAAAAACTGCCAGTAAAGTCTTGAGGACCTTCATTTGCTGATGAGGCATGACTCAAAATGAGAAGAACAGTTGCAAACATCAATTAATAATGTTTATTATTGGCATTAATAATGCGACTCTGGGAGCTGTTGGTGCCCTGTCACGTAACTGAGGACTTTGCATCCATTCAACTCTATACCTCTGGCCTCTGATCTCCCAGCTCCCCGCTTGCGCCTAACAAGACAGCACCTAGCAATGACAGAAATATTTTTGTTATTGCAGGAGTATCTATATAGTAGTATTTACCTTTGTCTATAACTCTTGTCCTCCTGTCTTCCTTAGTCTTAATGGTATTGTGGTAATGTCACCTTTATTGTCTATTGCCCTTCCCTTCACCATAATTGATGTCTATATTCAACCTTATTGTGCTAATGCCATTCTTATTGTAGATTGATTGCCTTGTCCTTCAGCAAAATTAATTCCCGTCTACTATTTAATTAGTGATTTTTTTCTTCTCTCACTTCCTGGAAATCAAAGAATATTTCTTTCTAGGTGTGATCTTTTTTGTTGGTTTCCTGGAATAGTGATATCATATAATATTTGTTCTTTTATGGCTAACTTATTTCACTGATCATAATGTTCTCCATGTTCATCCAGGATATGAAGAGTTTCATGGATTCCTTTTTACTCTTTAATTTTACGTAATATTCTGTTGTGTGTATATGCCACAGTTTCTTTATCCAATCATCCATTCATGGGCACTTATTCTGCTTCCATTTTTTTGCTGTTGCTAGCAATGCTGTGATAAACATGTGAGGGTATGCATATGAGGGGGCTCAAAAAAGTTCATGGAAAAATTGGATTATAAAAAAATGGAATTTTCCTACAAGGTTTTTGAGTACCCACTATAGCTGTTCATATCACTGTTCTTTTTCTGGGATATATGCCTATA